AAAAAGAAAGCTCCTTTATTTTACTAAGTTATTCTCTATCAACAAGTTTCTTCCATCACTTGTCAAATCCTCCAATATTCAACTGAGGCATCCAGTCTTACACTTTAGGGGTCACAGTCAATCTTAATTGGTATTACTATAACTCACATATGCTGCTGATTAATTTTAATTCCAATATTTCTTTTATAAATTAAGCTTGCTTTCCCCCCACTAATAAACTGTGAAAGAACTTTAATTAATATCCTGTTCTGGTTTATTCATTCAAATACAAACCAAGAATCTAATAAGAGCAAAGCAATAAAGCTAAGCTAAATGAAAAACAGATTCTATAATGAAAATATGAACAAAATGCTGGGGGAATAAATAGTAATTTCCTACCAGAATGAAAAAAAGAGTGATTCTTAGATTAGTCATCACCTGGATAGAGGGAAAAGGTGGTAGTGCCAAAGTGAGGTCAGAGCATATGGAAAAAACTAAGCCATGAAGGTACATGTCAAGTTCAGAGAGCAGAAGGCAGTGGGATATGGTTGCATTAGAGCTTACGTGGTGGAAATACGTTGAGAAATAAAAATAGAAGTGGGGGGTCTGGGGCCAGCCGGGTGGTATAGTTGGTTAAGATCGCAAGCTCTGGGCACAGGGTCATCGGTTTGATTCCCACATGGGCCAGTGAGCTGCACCCGAACTGAGCTGCCGCTGAGCTGCCAACAGGTGGCAGGATTGCTCAGCTGGTGAGAGCACGTGCTCCTAACAACAAGGTTGCTGGTTCGACCCTCGCATGGGATGATGGGCTATGCCCACCTGCAACTAAGATCGAACATGGCACCTTGAGCTGAGTGGCCGTGAGCTGCCGACGGGAAGCCGGATGGTGACTTGAATTGGAGCTGAGCTTGCTCTGCCCTCCACAACAAAGACTGAAGGACAACAACTTGGCTGTTTCCTTTCCCCAATTCCCCAATAAAATCTTTAAAAAAAAATAATAAAAGTGGGGGTCAGGTCACTGAAAACCTTCTAAACTATTTCGGCTTCTTACCGAAAACTTAGGCAGAAGAAAGTTAAGGTTTTCTGATGTGTGCTTTCAAAATTAACTGTTCTGTGAATGTAGAGGATAGAATAAAAAAGTAAAGTAGAAGAGAAATAGGGAATTAGTCCACTATAATTGTTCTGCTATGAAATGGTTAACAGACGGCAGTGGAAACAGAGGAAAATAAGAGGCCAAGGAGGCAAAATGAAGAGAACTGGGTAACTCACTAAAGTTTCCAAGGGAGAGTAGTGAGCAAGTCAAGGATGAAGCTCAGGTTTTCCTAAGACCCATAAGTCTTTGAAAACCTATAAACCTGCTGATTCCTCTAAATGCTGTTGAACTCAGGTTTCCAAAATAATCTAACCTTTCTCCAGGTGATTCAGTGTCACCTAACAGTTTTCAAAGCATATCAGCTTCACTTCCATTAAGTGGTTGGAGAGACAGCACTTTTTGAACGCAGGTAAGATGCTGTCCCTGGAAATTCTATCCCACACCACAAGAACCCATTTGCACTGCTGTTAGGACAGCTGGGGTTTTGTTCATCCGGTAGTGTATATGTATAATGTCCAATATAGTGACCCCTTCCTATATTGCTTTTCGAAATGCCCTTTAAAAGACCTGCTGACCTTGATACTTGATATCTGCAATTGTGAGATCAACCTCCAAAATAATTTCTAAATCTGTGCTAAAGTGACTTTCCTCCCTGTTAAGGATTCCAACCAAGAGCATCTACCGTATTTGCCGGCGTATAAGACGATTTTTTGGCCCTGAAAAATATGCCTCCAAGTGGGGGGTCATCTTATACGCCAGGTACACTTCAGATAGACTGCCCATAGTGCTTGCCCCGTGCCATAGTGGCCTCCCGATGCCCGCCCACTTCATTCCACATACCGTTCAGGCATCAGCAGCGCTGCTGGGTGTATGCTCGGCTGTGTGCGATTTTGCGAGTGTGGTAAATTCGGGTTACCGTATATTTCTTTACATATGCATTGAAGATTCGCGATTTTGCGCTATCATGGTGCCTGTTAGAATGTTGAAGAGCTCGCACTTGTGCACTAGTGAGGTCCCAGGGAGATGCTGATGCAAGGGTGGACCAGACTGCTATAGTGACAGGGCGGGCAAACAGGGAGCAGGGACCAATCAAATCAGGCTTTGTATACAGCCAACAGCCAACCACAATACTGCACCATTGTACAGTACAGCATAGAAAATGTCGACCAGTCAAACCCCTACCATCCCTATCATGGCACCAGCCAAAAGAAAGAAGTATGATGCAAATTTTAAACTGAAAGTTATAAACTTTGCTAAGGAAAATAATAATTGTGCTGCTGCAAGACAATATGGAGTAACAGAAAAGATGGTTCGGGACTGGAAATCAAATGAGAAAGCATTAAAGAGTATGCCAAGGGGTAAGTGTGCATTAAGAAGAGGCACCCCACACTGGCCAGAACTCGAAAAACATGTAGCAGACATGGTGGCTCAACATCACCAAAACGGTTATGTGGTGACACGAAATACAATACGCTTGTTTGCACTTCAGTGGGCCAAATCAAATCTGATCTTGTTTTACCTTTTATTTGGTGTGTGGAAGGTGTGCGGAAGAGGGGGTAGTCTTATACGGCGAGTATATAACAAACTCTGTATTTTGAGTGGAAATGTTAGGGGGTCGTCTTATATGCCCAGTCGTCTTATACGCCGGCAAATACGGTACTCATACCTAAAGAGGACACTTCAGGACTACGAAGTCTTCCCCAAACAGAGCATGGTCATTTGAAATCATGACAAGTGTCTATGAGAGTAACTTCCTTTGAGGAGTTACTCTCAGGATATGTGAGGAGGCTACTTAGACTTACAATCAGGCAAATACTGGGCAAATTATCAAAGTTTCTGGAAGAAACTATTTTACAAGCTGGAAAATACTGCTTCTAAGTCACTTTCTAATTGTAAAACATGTAGCAATGAGGAAAACCGCTCACCAACTCATATACTAATGTAGTATTTGAGGTCAGAAACATCCATTTCAATAGGAACGAACCAGAAGAAAAAAGGGATAGGAAAGAGTGCAGTGAGGTGTCTACTTTTGCACGATAGTTCATGTTTTATATGATTAATAAAGTAACACGGATGACATATGGCTTAGAAACACCTGAAAGACTTTCTTCCTAGAAGCTTTGCCTCTGGTTTCAGAAGTATAACCTAAAAGAGGCAACATTCAATAAAGGTTACAAGTCCTGATTCCAGAACGAGATGGCTGGGGTTGAAACCCAGCCCTTCCACGGACATATTTCTTATCCTCTCTTCTGCCTCAGTTTTCTCATCTATGAAATGAGGGTAATAATAGTACTTCTGTCATAAAGTTGTTGAGAGCAGTAGTGGATTTAATATATGTAAAATGCCTGGAACACAGTACATTCCCAAAAGTACTAGCAATCATTTGTATAACCAGGGTATGGTGAGTTTGGAAGCACCCAGGCTTGAAAGATAGATAAAAGTAACCTAAACAGGGGAACTGAGGGATGTTTAATGATCACGTACATCTCTTAGGTGATATTTGACATATGTGCTCGTAAGGGATGCAGCCCATTCAGAGCCCAAACAGCATTTTTCCCCTCTAAAAAAAGAACCTCATTACACCAATTCTAAAGATCTTGTAAAAAGACAATTCTAAAGAGCCATGTAAATATTTATTTTAAATGCCACCATTTTCTTAATTAAGATTGCCAGATAAAATACAGGATGCTAGTTAAATCTGAATTTCAGATAAATAATGAATAAATGTTTAGTATAAGTAGATTACGTATGATATTTGGTACACATATATGAGGTCAGACAATTAAGTTCGTGAACTTGTTGCAACGATGTTGCTAACCCTTTTTGATATCAGAGGGATTATTCATTATGAATTTGTACCAACTGGACAAACAGTTAACCACGTTTACTATTTGGAAGTGCTGAAAAGGCTGCGTAAAAAAAGTTAGACGACCTGAACTTTTCGCCAACAATTCATGGCTCTTCCATCACGACAATGCACCAGCTCACACGGCACTGTCTGTGAGGGAGTTTTTAGCCAGTAAACAAATAGCTGTATTGGAACACCCTCTCTGCTCACATGATCTGGCCCCCAATGACTTCTTTCATTACCAGAAGATAAAGGAAATACTGAAAGGAAGACATTTTGATGACATTCAGGACGTCAAGGGTAATACGACAACAGCTCTGATGGCCATTCCAGAAAGAGTTCCAAAACTGCTTTGAAGGATAGACTAGGCGCTGGCATCAGTGCATAGCTTCCCAAGGGGAGTACTTCAAAGGTGACCACAGTGATATTCAGCAATGAGGTATGGAGCAATTTGTCTAGGATGAGTTTGCAAACTTAATTGTCATGCCTCATATACTAAACACTTTTCATTGTTTATCTGAATTTCAAATTTAACTAAGCAGTCTATTTTTTCATGTTTTCCGGTCAGTCAACCCTATCAACAATCTAAAGTTCAGATAAATGTGCTGAATTTGCCAATGTCCATAAAGCAAAAAGAAATCGAATCATTTAAACTAAACAAAGTATCTTAAGAGGCAGTATGGTAAATGGGAAGCACATGGATCTCAGAATCAGGCAAATCTGAGCTGCAATTCACCATCGTCTGCCAATGGAGAACTGACTGATCTTGAATGAAAAAATTACCATACCTACCTTAGCCTCACTGCCCTCATCTGGTCAATGGGGTTTAATTTACTACGTTTCAGGATTGCAACATGTGTGACATGAAGTAACACACACCAAACAATTCCCTGATACAGAACAGACAACGAATGCTAGTTCTCAGTCATTCCTCTTACTATCTTAGCTCCCCAGAAACTCAAATTTCCCGTCACAGTAGCCAAAACCAAAGAACTCACTCACTCCCACAATAATTAAACAGAACATAGGACTCCCCAAACGGTGCCCAAATACAAACTTCTCCCAAGCATCTCATTTCACCTGGCAGGTGCCCTGGCTGCCAGAGTGCTAGGTGTCCACCGCCTCTCACCTACGTGGGCTCTGTCCAACTGTGCCTGACCAGAACTGTTTTCTGCTGACTGTGCTTAACAATATTTGAACAGAAAAGCCTTAAAATAACATTACACTGTGATTTCCTTATATGTTTTTGTTCTTTTTCACAAACATTTTAAGAATAAGAACAGATAAATTCATTTCAAACTACCATATAATACTAAATGCTAAAATCTGTTTTCTTAATTTAAAGAAAAAAAAAGCCAAAAAATCCTAATCACTCATTGAGTCAATAAAAATTCTGCAAAAGGACTGCAAATGCATATAAGAAAATTATTTTGCAGTGTGACTCCTAGGCCTAGCTAGATCTTCTTTGTATTTTGGAGTCATACCACATGGGGGATTATTTTCCAATATTCATTTTACAAATTGCTTAACTAACAATATGCTGTCCAACTTTCCATTTAGTATACCTTATCTTCTCTCTACACACTGTGATTTCTTTGAAGGAAAATTAACTCAATATTTTAGCAGCTTAACTAGTGAGAAGCAAAGAATTAAGATTGTAGATACAAAGGTGCTGTAATTGTGTTTTAATCAGCTTATTAATACAACATGAACATGTATCAATCAACTAACATTTAATTTCATGGTCTATGATTCAAAACTTTTCAAAAGCACAACAGTACAAAGTTATCAGCATTTACCTAACAATTCCTTTCCAATTTTGTTTCAACTCATGTAAACCACACAAAATATTGTAAGACAATTGGTACATGTCCTTATGGACTGGAAGAAGGCATAATTAGGAATTTTATTAAAATACAAACATACTATGAAATTTATATTCCTTGCGAGATATTACTAACTTGGACCAAAAAGAAAAATATCTACATATATAAAAACATAGCAACATAATTCTTTAAGTTAGGGGACTAAATATAGGAATGTTTAAAAAACCTATTTCAAATATTTCTATCCCCAACAGACAACACTCCACTGATTTAACAAACTTCTGAGCTCGTTTGTTTTAAATTGTTGCTGCAGAAAATGCAAACAAATCTCTATAAATCTCATTTAGAAAGTAAATTGCCTAATTGCACATTCACTTAGGAGTATTATACAAAAAGACTTCCCATTACAGAGTCACATTTGACCTGTAATATATGTGTACTTACTTATCTCTTTTCCTCCATTGAAAAAAGTGGTTTTTCATGATATGAATGATTCAATTTTTCACAGAATAATTTAGTTTATCAAAAGTCTACTTTTGTAAAAGAGCAGTGAAATTAGAAAAAAAGTCAGCAGGTTCCTTTCTCTAGAATTTTGCTTAATAGCAAAAATAGCTTTAGTTTTAATAGGTCTGTTTCTGACCATTATTTTTTTCCTCAAGTGGAGAAGTGCCTGAGGGTAAGGGTCATTAACATCTTTTACTAAGACAAAAAGATTAACTGTGGTTGCTAGGATACCAACAGGCAGATTCATTTATTGCAGTCACAAACAGTTATTAGGGATGTCTTCCCACAGAACAACTGTGTAGAGCACCCCTGGATGCTGTTAGAATGAATTTTGTGTGAGCGACAGTGACTCCATACTGAATGAGCAAGAGTAACTCCATTATGGACATGCACAGAGAACTTAGCAAACAATGCCCAGGGAGCTGCCTGGTTGCCCTGGTAATTGGGTGTAATCAGCTACACCCCCAAGGTCAGCTACTCAAGATGAGGTGATGTCAGGAAGGCACTCAAAACTGCATAAGAACTGAGGACTTTTGCAGCTCAAAGAGTTGGTCTCTACTGAGAGGTGACAATGCTGCCACTCTGCTCCAAGAACCCTCCACTCTGCTCTGCTCAGCTCGGACCAAACCTCTGCTGGACCGACCTCCCAGACCAGTCACCCTTCCTTGCTCCACCAGGCCTCTGATTGACCTTGGGGCTGGTTCGTTGCTCTATTTTACCCAATTACTGTATTACTCTGTGTGCTTTACTGTTTGGTGTGTTGATGATTGATGTTTGAGTGAAGAGCATATTGAAAGGCATTTAAGATTTTGTATGGTCTGTTCTTCACTCATGCCATGGCTACTGCAGATGCCTCAGTCAGTGCCAGGTAGATCCTGGGGAACTGAGAATCTCTCAGGGGTTAGTCCCCCTGACTTGCAGGAAGAGACTGCAGCCACGGACTGTGAGCCTAGCAGTCTCTCGTGACAACAACATACTAACTACAGTGGGAACCAAACAAACAAAATCTAAAAGGCAGAGGCAATCCCTGCCCTTGAAGAGCTTGATATCATCTGTTTTGGGTATTTAAAATTACAAACTGCATTCTAAATATGATATTTTTTAAAGAAATAGAAATAAGTAGACAATGGGAAGAAGGGAAGGGAGTTAAACAAACATGTAAGCCGAGGTCAAATACTCCATCTGAGTCTGCAGAGTCTGATTCCTTCATTCATTATCTTATTTAACTAAATGAGTCCGTACCATGTGCTCGTTACTGTCCTAGGCATTAGAGACTCAGCAGTTAATAAGCCAAACTTTGAGTCCTCATTGAGCTTACAGTCTAGTGAGGAGACCCAGCAGAAGTGCTGTAAATATTTACATCTGTGCCAATGTGGAAGTGTGGGTATGCACGCGCGCGCGCGCGCACGTGTGTGTGTGTGGGTGTGTATACAGTGCAAGGAAGCTGTGCAGAGGCATGGAGGCACATCAGAGAAGGCCTGACATATAATTCAGTGATTACTATATGCCAAGTGCAGGGCTAGACAATGAGGGTAGAGTGTAACAGGGGACACATGTTCTCTGCCATTCTATTATACTTTACTCAGGTGGGAGAGCCAGGTAAACTAACAGGGAAATATTCTGGTGCCACTACCTGTGTAAGCTTGACAGGTTGGTAACACCCTCATCATGAATAGTGGCACTAACTTTCAAGGGTTATTGGGAGCAGTAGGTGTTTATAAAAGATTTGGCACAGTGCCTAGTGAACTACAAATGTTATTATTACAGTTAAGTGCCCATGTTATAGAATGACAAGAACTGAGATTGGTGGAAATTGAGAATGGCAGAAAAGGGGAAACGAGAATAAAGGTCTTCAAAAAAATCAAAAAAGGGAGGAGAGAAGGGTCCAATGAGGACCTGCAAGATACACACTGTGAAGTGTATTTATAAACCTACAAGAAATAGTATACAATGGAATCACATCACACGCCCAATTAAGTGACAAGAATTAAATTACACACGATTGGCAGAGAAGAGAGAAAGAGAGAATCATTTAAATACTGCAAATGGCTCTGCCGCTATTTCACTAAACAAGGGAATATTTCGGAGTGAATGAGTTTATAGAAAAACATATCTCTAGTCCTCCAGGCAGTCTCAGATCCCACATGTGAAGTCTGAGCTCCTCACCTCACTGAGTTTGAGTCTAGATATAAACAAAGATGTGTTTTCCATTCGCACCCCCTAAAGACAAACACATTTAATCTGGTGCTATTTTGATTAGATGCTGTTTTCATCACGTTTTGTACTTACTTTATAACTAACTCCTGCTTAAGATGCTACTCCACCTATATGATCTCCATTTTACAGATACCAACATAAACGTGCCCCAGGACACAGGGGCAGTGTGCAGCAGAGCCAGGGTGCCTGCCTCCTTCTGCCCCACTCCCAATCCCTGCAGTCTTTCCACCATGCCCAGCCATCCTTGACTTTGGGTTTGAAGGGGAAGGCTAAGGTAGAAGATGATGCAAAATATATAAAAGTTAATAAAACAAACAGGTATTTGTAGAAAAAGATAAAGACATTAAGACCAACGACAGAGAAACTAAGTCAGAAGCTGATATATAGTAACTGCTCATCACAAATTTCCAAAAATATTGATTTCATGTATTTTATACCTCTGGGCTTACTAAATATTGACGTATTCTGGAAATTCAAACATTTTGACTTCCAAGCTCTATCTCCCTGACTACCTCTCACACCCAAAAGAGGCACACAGAGTACACATACATACACACACACACACACACACACACACACACACACACACACCCCTTCACCAAATCATGTGTCCGCACACAACTTGTTAGTTTTATTGTCTTTGAAAGAGAAAGACAGGATTACAATAAACTAGTGAGAAAGAAAGAATATAAGTAGGAGATGAATGTTGGGAGTAAAGAAAAAACCTCCAAAGTACTAATTCAATGGCAGTACCTCTAACAGTAATAATGAAATTGAGAAAAATAACAAATGTAAGTATTAGTAAGTCGCTCAAAAACAAGTCTTTGGAAGTACATACCAAAAAAGAATCCTGCAACTAAATTCATTGGGCATTTACTCTGTGCCCACGTATTCACACTAACAAGTATACACATTTAATCATAATTCCCACTATAATTTTAGTAATTTTCCCTTATCTTGGGGAAAAATCTCTGGCCCCAATAAAAAACAACAGCTATTCCTTTGAAACAACATTTACAATAATGATAATGATAGCAGTTACTTTGGGGCCATTCACCATGCCTTTACATTTCACCCCTTGAAGTACTTTATCCTGACTCTACCTGGGAAAACACTCTCAGATTAAGAAACTTGTCTAAAGTTGTCTAATATTTTAGACATGATGGGGCTGGGACTCACCCATGTCTATCTGACACCAGGGCTCTTAACCACTTTATACTGCTTCGTCATTTCAAAGACTCTAACTTTCCGATGAGCACTCTGCCTTTTTAAATGTCGAGTCTATGGACACGAACTAATTCTCCCTCGTAGTATTTTACACTAAGTAGCTAAAATGATCAGTACCTTAAATGTGTGCAACTATCCGCCCTCAAAACTAAAGCTGTCTTGAGTTTATTACTGTTTTATACTGCACAAGTACAGTCCTTAAATGGCACATAAATTGATAAAATGAGAACTCAAAATATAATGACATATAAAAGGAATATGATACTGGTAAAAGTCAGAGAAAGTCTCAAAAACTGGAGAAGTGGGCTCCACCAGATTATCATTAAAATAGTCTGTGCCCCAGGGGCTTTAGAATCTCTAGTTGTTTGAAGTGCAGATTTTACCTGGGTCATTATGGGAATGAGGTACCACAAAGACTTGAAGGGGCTTAGTGTCCCATTCATTCAATTTATAGGTGATGTCAAATCCTTGCTTCCAAACTCCACCATCTGGATTGTCAAAAGGAATTAGATTGTAAACATCCAACATCTACAAATATAGAAGACAAAAGAAAAAGTCAGTTTAATCATATATAACCATTATTAATTGAAACTTAATGTTGAAAAATATTTGCTCAAAACTACTTATTGTTGCACTCTGAGTATATATTTTACAAGATAAAACTATTTCTGTAGACATTAATTGAAGAGTTTAAGGCAGAAAACATTTAATCACCATTCAAAGGATTAAAATGCTACCTGCATTACATAACTATCCTGAAAACCCCTCCCCCATCTGCTTCTAATAAAAAATTGTATTCACTCCCTCTTCCCGTTACTTCCAATATAATTTATTCGAAATTAACAGAAATTGAATAGCAAACAAAAAAACTGATTATGACCAAATAGTATTTTCATATACAGTACTGCAAATTACTTATTTTATTTGAGTTGCCTTTATTTTATAATCAAGCTCATATATTTTAAAATATGAATCCTAATGAAAATGCATCTATAACTTTCTTTCATTTAGCATATACTTTTTATTCTAAAAATAAAACTACAACAAGGTCAACTAGGTTCAAAACGGAGGAACTTTTTAAAATTGAGATTTAGCTTTTAAGCATTCAAATATTTTCTAGTTTACAATGCAGTATTCCTTCTAGATGATAATCTATTTGGACACAAAGGAAAAAATATTACACCCCCCCAAAAAAAAACCTAAAAACTTTTATTCTCCATACTCTCTACAATATTAAATGTGACAAAGAACACAACCACCCTTTGGTAAAATTTAAATTATGTAAAAATCACAATCTAATTAATGTATAAGCGGGTTATAAATATTTTCTAGAGATATCAAGCAACTTGCATAAAAGTAAATGCAAAGTATTTTGTATAACATGTCTCTCAGTTCGGAATTTATGATTTTAATAAATAAAATAAAATGCTCCAATGATAAGTCAAATCTTTGGGAGACAGCTGGACAGGAGGATACAACAGTCTCCGCTATTCATTCCTTCAGTTCTTTCTTTGGTCCTGCAGATCTCCCAGTTCCTGCTGCCTCCCTCTGCCTGCCTTCCATAGTTGCTCTGCACCTCCTTTCTGTCCATCCCAGATTTAGACCCCCCCAAAAAAAGTTTTGTTCCCCTTTAAAGGGTATTTAATTGAAACCTGAACAAAGCCAAGTCTCACAGAAATAAATACCCATTCAAAGCACAAGATCCTGATGCGATATGAACCTGTCCACACAATAGCTGATGAGGTTGCAGGCATAAGGCCTGGCCAGCTCCATTGTCCTCAGCTTCCTACTTGGCCTGTGAGACATGTGGCCTCGAGATCATATCATGTTCTCTTGTCCCCAGGAATTAGTGAAAACTCCAAGCAAGGCCAGAGCCAGCTCATTTTGGACAACTGTAAAATATTCGCCCCTTAGAGTCGTCTTGTCACCAAGTTCCAGTTTTTGGCATAAGGTAGGTTAAACATAGCTCTCTGCTAATTTGCAGAACAGAAAAATATGAGCAACATACCCTAAGTTTAAGAAAGGCAGAAATCCTTCCTTACCCTAGTCTTCCATTCCACTACCCTGTAGGACAACATGATCCAAGACAAATATAATGCAAGTGAAATACATAATTTTAAATTTCATAGTGAAATGACATAGGTGAAATTAATTTTAATGATATATTTTCGTTAACCCAGGATGTTCAAAATAATACCATCACAACATGTAATCAATATAAAAATGAAAGATATTTTGCAGTCTTTTTTCATACTGAAGCTTGAAGACTTTGTGTGCATTATACTTAGAGCACATTTTAATGCAAACTAGCTGCATTTCAAGTGCTCAGTAACCATTTGTGGAAAGTGGCTTCCATACTGGACAGCACAGCATTAGAATAATGCCCTTCTCTCTCACAAAGGGATATTCAGCAACATGAATGTAACCCTACACTGTGTGACACCTATAATGTGTAACAGTGATATAGTTAGAGGAGGGGCTTTTCTTGTACTCTCCAAAGGAAGGTAAGAAAATCTCTGGCCAAATTTAAGCCTCTAAAAGTCTTCAACTATGACAGAAAATAAGACCTAAAAAACATACCATCTTCACAAAGTATAAAGAAAAATTTGGAGAAACACAGAATTACGGAATTGTATCACTAAAAACGAACATTAATGATCTTGTGACATTATCAAATCACTTTACAAGAATAGAAACTCAAATCCAGAGAGTTTAAGCAACTTACTAATAAGAACAGATACCAGATCAAATCTGAAAAAAAAAAAAAAAGTCCAGTGATTATTATTAACACATGTATACATTACCTGCACATCTGAATTCTGACTTCCGCTTTGTGAAGCAAACAGACAGTCTTCAGGGTCAATTGTGAGGGACGATTGTTTCGATGACAGAAGAGGTGACCCAGCACCTTGGCTGAAATTGCCTTGTGAACTTTTCGACCCATCCTCCACAGACTCACTCAAATTGATGACCGAATCTCTAATATTTGAGATGATCTCATTATTCTCAGCTAGCAAACGCTCCAAATGGTCTATTTTTTCTTGTAACATTGAGAGCTGGCCCTACAATAAAAAAGACAAAGGCAGCTATATGAAACTCTAATATAGCTCTGCTGAGGCACACAGAATTTTTTTTTTTTAAATGATGTGCCTGCCCAAGAGGGCAGCCACTCACCCTTCACTTTCCACTTTTATAAGTAGGATCACAGAAAGCATGAACAGCTGGAAGGGTTGAAACACCAATTTACGGCAGAAAATCTTCTCCATGGCTGCAATCTTTGTTTAATCATATTTTAAAATGTGCAACAGAAGGGCCAAAAATAGTTTAGGATATATTTCCTATTACCCCAAACACAGTCCTAAAAGATCTTTGGGTCTCTAAAACCACTAAGTACAACAGATATTCAGGTATGAAATCTTAAATTTAAGTGTAATTGATTCTAGTTATTCTCAAAGGTCAAAAAGTATGAACCTGAAAATGATCATTTCATATTAATTGGTAATGCTAGTGGACAATCCCAAATAAGAACTATCATCTATAGAAAAAAAATCAATCAATTGTTAATTAGTCATACACTTGAAAAAGATGGCATGAACATCCTCAAGTAACCACATTTGTTAAGTCATTTAGACTGCTTTTACTAAATTGTGTGACTTTTAGATTTTTTAATTGATCCTCATATTAAGAGGCTTGCTGTCTCTATAACATAAACCTTACTATACAGAATAGCACCTCAGCTTATGAGAGCAAGGACAATCTTTGTCTTGTTCACTCCTATACCCAGGGTTTCAAACACACAGTACAGAGTTATTTGTCAAATGACCCTCAATATTACTGAAATCCAACTATAATTCATCAGTGAACACCCACTGTACCAGGTATAATGCTACATGCTGGGTAGACAGGTATGCATAAGATATGAGTTCCTGTCTGAACACATAAGATGACATTGTAACCCGAAACAGACTACTCTATGCCCTCAAAAGTCCACATTATGGTTTAATAGAATAACTATATGGATATGAACAAACAATTCTAGTCACTCAGAAACAAAAATTCTATCACCAGTAAATAACAGAAAGATAGAAAGAAAGAAGGAGAAAAAGAAAACACCTAAATGTTCACAAGTAAAGGACTGGTCAAATGGTATATCTAATACTACTGAATAGTTTTCAGTCACTGAAAATGTAGGAATAAATTTAAAAAAAAACTATATCAGAAGGTCCTTTCAGGAAATATATTTGAGAAAAAGTAGATTTAAAATAGTATGTATAAATAAAAATAGTATGTATGACATGATCCCCTTTGGAAAAATAATACATTTTTTTTGTATTATGGTAAAAACTGGTTATAGGCATTTATATTCTTCCTTAGCCTGTTATGAACAGTTGCTGATTTTGTAAGGGGAGGTGGAGAGAAACAAGTATTCTACTCCAGGTTATTGGCCACTTCAACAAGGGGAGAGGAGAAGTCAACAGACTTCTATGTACCAAGCAAAGGCCATTTCAGCAAACTGTGTAAACGGACAGAAGTCTGAGAGGGCCAGGAAAGCCATTTTTGGAGTAAGAAAAAAAAAAGACAAAATTTGAAGCAAATCAGCAGCAAATTGTCTCGTGAGGTGCTGGGAGAGACAATACTGGGGATGAATACCCGAATACCCAAAGCCCTCATGTTCCAGAGACAAGGAGCACAAGACATCATGGACCTCCTCAGGCCTCAAAGATGCTCTCACAGGCCTCTCTACTTCCTAGAGACAGAAATAGCCCTCGCTATTGTCAAAACTGCAGCCCTTTTAAGTAAATGTCACCTCTAGGTGGGGTGGCATGGCTCCACAAGGTAGAACTCTGAAGCCTGTTCATAGGCACAAACAGACGCAGGAAGCACAAGGTTTTCGCACAGAACTCATGCTGAAAGACACACGCCCCATTTCCCCTAGTGAAGAGCAAGCGAGAATAAAGATCCGTTAACGACTAGAAATGGCAAAGCAAAGGAAGCTTGACGCATCAGTGCAACACTAGGCTCAGTCAGGGTTCAAAGAGAAGCTAGTTGAACCATGCAGATTCCAGGTCAGCAAAGCTGTTGAGCAGTATTTACAACAAACCTTTTTTTAAATAAGCACACACTGATGTTAGTTGAATGGTTCTCAGTGGAAAGGCCAAAGGGGATTCTTGGCATAAGGCAAAGTTCACCCAAAGAAGCTAAAAATATTTGAGAGTCAAGTACATAGCTGACTGATCTGTAAATATTTTCCTAACCAGGCATGCGATCAAAGGTTGACCAAAATAAGGGAAAAGCTTCTCTTCACTCATTTATCACAACACCATAGACTGTGGCTTTTTCAAATCACTTCTGATGAATTCTGTTGAATATTTCCATTACTGAAGATAGATGTCTACTTTTGTGATGCAATTCCTGCCACAGCAGGTAACAACAGCAAATCCAGTTCCTCTGATTCCAAAAAGAATTAGAACATGTTGACTCATCTTACCTGTAGTAAACCCACACAATTCCATAAAATAAAACCTTGGCTTGGTCTAATGGTTTATTTTATACCACCCAATAATACCATTAATAACTATGTATGGTGACAGATGGTTTCTAGACTTATTGTGGTGATCACTTCGTAAGGTACATAAATGTGGAATCACTATGTTGTACACCTGAAACTGGTATTACATGTTAACTACAATTAAAGATTTTTTTTAGGGGCCGGCCGAGTGGCGCGATGGTTAAGAACTGGCTTGGGAAGCCAGAGGGCCCTGGTTCGGATCCCACATATGAGGGCCAGTGACACTGCCCTCTACAGCTAAGATGCTGAACAACAGCTCAACCTGGAGCTGGGTTGCCATGAGTCGCCGGCGACGGCGTAGGCTGCAGCCCCTGTGGCAGTGGGTTGCCATGGGCTACCGTGGGTAGCCAGCAGCCAGCGTGAGCGGCCAGCGGCCAGCAGCCACAATGAGCGGCCGTCCAGAAGCCGGCGACTGATCTGCCTCACCCGGGAAGAGCGCAATGATGGTGCCAACTTAGGCCAGTGAAGCAACGTCCTCCACAACTAGACTGAAGAACAAAACGACAGCAACTTGTCTGTTCCCCTCCCCCAATTCCCCAGCACTGTTCCCTTCCCCCCAATACCCCTATAAAAATCTTTAAAAAAAAAAAAAAGATGAAAAGAATCCAATCGTTTAAAAAAAAAAGATTTTCTTTAAAAGCTAAGGGGAAAAACAGATATTAATTGCAATGAAAATAAAAAGCTTTGCTGGAAAAGCTAAAAAAAATTAATAAATACCACCATCCTAGAGCTTTTAAAGAAGCCCCCCGTTTTATCAGACACGTATAGTGTATAAATTAATACATGGGTGCCGAATTTCTCTAGATCTTCTTGAACTTTCAGGAAAAGATAGTTTCAGAGCCATGCCACAGCCAAGCTGCCTACATCTCAACAAGCACACATTGAGAAAGAAGAGGGCTCCCTTTGGAATATGTCTTACCATGGCCCTGGTCTTTTAACCCACGGAGGAGAGTATTATTCAAAATAAACATTACAGGAGATAGATGTTTCATGTAAAAGGATCCTGCAGGCATTAAAGATGATGTCAATCTCATTATTGCTTTAAAGATAGAATTAATGATCAGTACCTAGAATTCAGTACTGAATTAAGTCCATTGAGAAAATTGTGTCCTAGGTATATGTCAGCATAACGGTCCGAAGAAAATTGTTTTTAAAACTGTATTATGCAGCGGAATAAAGTCTCCATCTAAACAGCTGAAATTTCTGAAATACACACACCTCATAAGCAAATTCTGTACACACGACAGGGAAGAGTGGTATGACCTTAAAAGGATGCACTCGTAATCTACCTTAAAGGAACAGAAATCATAGATAATGTTTCAATTATGCTGACAAGTCAAGGCACACTTGGTGGTATTGAACAAGACAGTTTTCTGTAGTGCAAGAAAATCACTTATGAGAAAACCACTTTATTCTTTGATTTGCTAATCAGTTCTATAGGGAGTCCATGGTGTTACACTGCTGAGGAGAGAGAAAAGAGGTCATGACATTTGATTTACTCTGCTTTTGGGGAAAAGAGAAAAATAGAGCAAAAAAATCAGTGATGTCAAAGACTCTGGAGAGGGAACATTTAGAGCCTACTACAAGGCAAAATAGGAGCCAGTACCCACTTAGCCCTACGAACAGAATCAATCATGCATCTCCAGCTAAATCTGAAAACATATTATGTAATTATCTGTCCCAGGTCAGACACTAGCTGCTGGGATTGGCATCGCCATGATCACTTACGCATGGCTGAATCTGCACACCTCCTCCTTCCTTCCTGTCATAATTGAAAAGAAGGTGTGCCTTCCCTTCCCACCACTTCAAAGGCCAACACACTGCTGGTGAGCTCCAACCCCATCTCTGTCAACGGCTCCAAGGCTGTATTCTTGTGGTTAAACTCTCTCAGCACTGCTTCCTCAAACTTCCTTTCTAAAAGCAACTCATTCTCAATAATAACATATTCTATCCGGTCAAACTATGTGAAACTGTCATTCTCATAAGAAAAAAAGTAGTCAAATGTCACCAATTTCTGATGGTTCAACTTAACATCGTATCTTAGCTAAACAAACTCCAGTGCTTCCCTTGGTCCTGCATTCCTTTCCAGGGCCCCACCGTCTTCATGGATATACAGGGATTATCAACACTCTACATTCATTATCCCCCTTCCTTACAAACTCCCACTGGCTCATCTGCCCATTCAAATCAGCACCTGCCCACCACTCCACCAAAACTGCCTTGGGAACATACCCAAAGGCTCCATCTTGCCAAGCCTGACGAGCAAACTCTGTCCTCGCCTTATTCATCATCTCAAGGAGCATTTGGCACTGCTTCCTCCCAGAAATGTTTTCTTCACTCACTCCCAGTACATGTTCTTGGTTTTCCTCCTCCCAACTGTTTATCAATCTCCTTCTCTTCCCGATATCTAAATGATGGAGGCCCTCAGGTTAGCTCCTGATTTCTCTGCACTGTCTTAAGTTATCTTATCCGCTCTATGTTAGTTTAAATGCC